AATTAATTGGGGTTGGATCTAAACTCTGCAGGACATCGGCCCTCCAGGACCGAGTTTGGGCACCCCTGACCTAGATTATTTATTTTGCTAAATATTTTCATTTTAATAAATTACATGAAATTACATGTTGCTGCGAGCTGGAGCCGCGAGACATAGCCTAATACAGCGCATTGCTTGAGGTAGATGTTGTGTTTTGTTAGTAAATGTTTCATTATATTACTAGTGTTGCCTCCTTCGTTCACTACTACACTACTGCATATATTGCATCTGACACTGGTGTCGCTTAGTTTTGTAACGTGAGCCCACACTTTCGAACATTTCACTCTTGCCACGATGACTGATTGCACGCACACACACACTGCACATGCGCATGGATATCACTCGCACACGTCGAGCAAACGTCTGCCACATCATTCAGTGAAGGAAAATGACAAGCAGCAGCTTCTAATTCGTCGTTAACATTGAAGTATATGGAGATAAAACAACGCAAGTATCGATAACAGTATCGTTTGTCCTGAAGCTTATCGGTACTCCGGTATTGACCCAATTACGTACCGGTTCTCGGTACCCATCCCTAGTTACTGTGGCAGCCAACAGCAGCATCGTTTAACCATGCACACATTTATATATTTAGTTGCACTGAAAAAGTAATCCTGTCGATCTTATTACATCATTTTGACATGGATTTCTATGGAGACCGGAACACGACAGCATCCTAACAGAAGTTAAAATCCATCACGGCGGGGCTCATCAGTTACTTAGGAAAAAGGTGGATATGGAAATAAAATTCTGAAGACAACTAATTCTGCATTTTTTAAATCTACATATTCCAATAAATAGAGTAATCAAAACTAAGAAAATTATGGGATTTTGGAATAATTATGGCAATACTGATAAAAAAAAAAAGATATTTTTAAGCTTCGTCTAAATTCCAGTTCTGCACATTCTGGAAATTCTCAACTCCCATGTGAATGAGGTGTATTCTTTTCAAGGTTTTTTTTTTTCTTTTCTTAAATCAAACATTTCTTAAACTAAAACTTACTTCAATTCGTTCAATTTCAATTTAAGCAAAATAATAAATTCTATGTTGATGTTTCAAATGTCTGATGAAAAGGAAAAAAGGCTTGAACACAAGTAAATGTGGTGTCACATGACACTGAATGACAGAATTAAACAAATGTTGTTCCCATTAAAGCTTAGTTTCTCTATAATGTTCAAGTGTGTGTTAAATATAGCCTATTTGCAGTTCAATCACAGTGAAATGGCCTAACAAAACATTTTTCAATATTTGTATGATCCCATTAACTTTTCATGCAGTTGCATGAGCCAAGTCGATTCAGGCAGTTTTCTCAGCCACGTCAAACTGCAGCTGTCTTGACTGTATGCTAAAGGGTGCATTAAAGATTGCTGCTAGGATGCGGTCATTACACGCACAATTTTACTGTTAAAAAAGGCTTATTGAATGGAAACAGGCTATGTCGATAACAGAATAGCAACAAGTAGAAAAAAACTTGGCTTATGATAATGATGAGAAATAAATTTAACCAGGTTGGTCAAAACTAGGGCTGAACGATTAATTGCATTTGCGATAATATCGCGATATGAAAAAACGCGATTTTTCAATCGCAGAGGCTGCGATTACACTCGGTCACGTGACACGTTAGAGTAAAGAGCTAAAGTAGTGTGGTAAAGCAACAGATTTGTTTTTATATTTCTGCAATCTTTGCAATCTTTAGTTTGTGTGATTTGTTACTGACTGTCATATTAATGTTTACATCAGGCTTATTTGTCAGTGCTTTATGTTGTAATTATTACATGCTTACAAGGTTGGAAGTTCAACAAATCAGTCAATATACTGTGATTGTAGTTGTTCAATAAAAATGTCATTCATATCAATTTATGCATCACCTAATTTCATCGTAACATATAGGCCTGGCCTACAGAAAAGAACATTTATGTTTAATCTATCTAATAGTGTGTTGGTCATACTATACAATGATTTATAGCTTGTCTTTGTTGAATAATACAGAACATAAAGAGCTTTAAAAAATAATTGCATATTAAATCGCAATCGCAATATTGGTAAAAAAAAATCGCAATTAGATTCTTTTCCAAAATCGTTCAGCCCTAGTCAAAACTTTTGAGAGGTAGTGCATGTGCGAACGGCTTCACACATGAATTAGACAGAAAATATAATCTTCAGTGTTTCATTTTCAGTCCATACAGGAGCAGTCACACAGATCTGTGAGAGCATGTATGTTAACATGCAGGACATGCAGAACACCCAACACAAGCACATTAATACTGACATTTGAACAAAAATACCATTGTTCGCATGATTTCTGTCTCCGCTCAGCCACACCATCCCGCTTTACCACCTCTCCCTCTGTTTTTCCTTCAATCGCCCACTTCCTCCTGCTTTTCTCCCTGTCCTCCGTCCTCTGTTCTCCCCTGGGCTCTCTATCGGCCCCTGAGGCGTGATGGAGCGAGTGTCGCTGTGAGTTTTCTCTGGGCGTTCTCGTCTGGGTGGGCTCCTAAGGGCTCACCCTGCTGTCATTATCTCTCTCTAATGAGTCGCCATTACGGCTCTACTCCTAGCACAGTTACCGCAGCTCAGTGCAGGAATCACAGAGGAGCTCTACCACAGGAAAATACGCATATACTATATTACATAACACTTAATTATGAGGTGAAACGTATATTGTTGAGACTGCAATATTACTAAATATACCTACACATAATTGCACTGTTCCAAAACGCAGTGAGCTGTCAAGAGACAATTTTAAGGCATCTTCATTACGCTGCCAAATTCTAAGGCGACACTGAATATATCCTGCATGGAGATTGAGAGGCCACCACTACCTATATAGTGTTGAAAATTAGTTTTGACGTTCCATGGTGGCTAAGAGGTTGATTTAGAGGGCAACTGCATTTAAAAAAGCAGTAGTAAGCAAAGCAGCTTCATATAATATCGGGAGTGTTTAAACATTTAAATTTATAACTAAATGTGAAATGTCTATTAATAGCAGATCATATCATTTGTCTGTTTGTAGATTTACATTCTTTTTTATAATTTAAAATAACAGTAAATTTATCATAAGTCGTGAACAAAAAATATATTGTTTTGACTAGACTATAATGACTGAAATGATAATCATCAATAATCGTATGGCTTAAAGGGGTCATATGATGCAATTTAAATTTTTCCTTTCTCTTCAAAAAGTGGGTAGTTCTACAATTAGTTCTGGTACTATGAAAAGGTTCCCACGGTGCGAAAGGCCCTACTGGTAACAGGTTTCGGTACCCAACCCTACAATTTATTGAGACAAACAACAAATATTTTTTGTTTTAACAATCAAACAATAAAAATTAAACAAATATCAAATTTCTAATATTTTATACGCAAATTAAAT